TTTTTTTTTTTTTTTTTTGGTGTTTTTCGAGCTTTCCTTTTCCGGATAGAAATGGGGGAAAGAGGAAATGGCGGTGGTGGCGACGGTGGTAGTGGTGGTGGAGCCGGCGGAGGTGTGGTGGTGGGGTACGGTGGTGAAAGTGTTTTTTCTGCGTTAGGTGTCACTTATAAGAAAAAAAAGGGACGGACGTTGGGAAGCTCCAAAACATTGCCCCTTTTTAAAATTTCAGAAAAAAATACTGGAAATTGACAAAAAGGAAAAAAAAAAATAAAATCAATAAATGTTGTCTATTTTTGTTTCATTTTATTTTATGTTGTCCATTTCGTTTGTGTTTGTGTTTGTGTTTTCTCTGTGTTTTGGTTAATTTATCTAAATATCTAATTAGTAGCTAATAGTTTATGACTGATGACGTAATAAAAATGTTAATATACTGATGTAATAAAAATATTTGATAAAATCAATTATGAAATAAAAATTCGAACTGGTTTTTTTTTTAAAAAAAAAAAAAACTACATAAAATCCTCCTATATATTAATCCAGAACGCGTTGAGCCTACGTGGCTGCTTCTGGTGATTCAGAATTCTATTTGGCAAAATTACATGCTTCGTTATTAAGCTGGGGTAAATTTTAATTTAATTTCAAACCAAAAATAATTAGGTTCGAATTACCATAAATATGTTGATTATTTATGGTCATGTATGTATTAGTTGCATTTTATTATGATTCCTTATTATAACTATTGAATTGTATATATATTTTAAAAGTTAATAACTTTTGCATTTCTTATCAGTTTTACATATGTAATATATCAAATTAATCTACTTTTCATGAGCTCCGATTTAACATCCATATTGTATGTATAAAAAAATAATTTATATTTATTTTTATAACAATAATAAAATTATTTTTAATATTAATTAGAAAAAAAAAATTATTTATCAACTAATATATTTATGTTTCAAGTAGTTATATGATATAAGTTATAAAAACTAATATAATATAACACATGTAAGTCATAAGTAACACATATCATCCTAGAATATATAGTAATATATTTTTTTTGTAAAAAAGTAAACTAGATTTGATATGGTTTTCTAATTAATTTTAAAATTTAAGAATAATTTTTAACAAGCACCCGTGTAATACACGTGTGTTGTATTATGAAGCTTATAATATAAATTTGAATTTTTTGTTAAAAGCTCAACCGATCAACCGAAACTTATTGAAATATAAATAACTTATAAAATGACTAATAAACTATAAATAAACTTATGGTACTTATTAAAGCAGCTTTGGATAATATACCTTATAGCTATTTAGTTAATTTATATATGTTATATAGTTAAATAAATCTCATTTGGTATATGGTCTTTTTAAAGTTTGAGTTAACTTATTGAGATTGTGTTTCAAAAATTCTATTTAAAATTTTGCATTGACTAAATTATTAAACAATTTTACAAAATACTTTCATTTTATAATCATCTAAATTTTGATCACAAAATTATCAGTTAGATAATTATATCCTCTAAATTTCCAATCAATAATCACAAATATCCAGTTGTCATTTTGAAATTAAATTATACGGTATTAGATTATCACTTTACTTCCCACCTACATCTGTCAAGCGTATCTAATTTTTGTGTTAGAAAAATAAAAATAAAAAAATCTAATTTTTGTGATATATAAATGTTTTTCGGTTTTTTTTAATGGTGTGTTCAAATTTAATTTCACCAATTCTTAGAAATAGGGATAGAATATGATTCTAATATGATGAGAGAGGGAATAATATTAATATAATATTATTTAATTGATAAATAATGTATTATGTAAAAAAACTCATATTTTTTTAATTATTAATATATACTCAATTGTCCTATGAGTTTTGGCTATTGTCATTTTTCTCTAAAATAATTCTTTTATTATGGAGACTCGTACTGTCATAATTTTCCAAGGGATATATGTATTTAAAATTAAAATATTTAAATAATAATATACATATATGTAAAAGTATGATATTTTATAACATAAATAGATAATTAGACTATAACGTATGATGGATCGATCAGTCTAAACTCTAACTCACACAAAAAATTATGCTCTCTTACTACTTCAACTTTACTTCTTTTTTTTTTTTTTTTTGAATCGGTGTTTCATTTTATTTTTTTAATGAGTTGTTTGTGCTCGTTTGGGCGACTATTTGAAAATGCTCTAAGTATATAATAAATGTACATAGAAGTGTACATAACACTCACATGAAATGAGATCAATTTGATTTTTTATTTTTTGTGGGTCCCACTCAATATAAGTATCGTACAATCATATGTACACTTATATGTACAATATCATATACTTGTAGCATTACTCGACTTTATTTACAAGTATCTGGGTATTATGTGGCAACAGATTACAAATGTATGCTGTAATTTTTCTCGTATCGAGTATTTATTTATGATTTTGTCCAAATAGTCAAATACTATAATGTGAGGAGACTGAGATGACAGAATTACCCCTGTGAAATTCAGTATTGGCAAGTGGGTGACAGAACAAAAGGTGAGCTGTACCGTTGATTTTTGGACCACAGTTGCATATAACTTGCATTGTGTGGTGACAAGTCCAGCTCATGATCTCGAGTGCCCACTTTTGGTTACCATGTGCCCGCGTCGCATCTGATCCCCTTCGCCCTTTTTCGATTCTCACTTGTGCTGCTGCTTTTAAGTTTTAAAATATCCTTTATTTTTTTTTCCTATTAAAGAAGGGTGTGTGATGAATTAGAGAGGGCTAATTTAATAATTTTAGTAGATTTTTAAAAGCCAGTAATTGATAGAAAATTATTAAATACAATATTTTTTTTCTATTAAAGAAGGGTGTGTTCTGAGAACCGACACCGTGATTTTACGGGTTGTTTCGGGTCTTTTTTTTTGGTCCCCATGATCTGGAACTGGGTCGATCCAACGGACTCGGTCCTTGGTTTTTGGCGGGCCGAGCAAGAGTCACCCATGGGAGGCCAGGGGACCCGGCCCGTTGACTGGCCATATCTAATTACAATGAAAAATTGAATTTTACACGTAAAAGTCAATTTTTGATATGTGATCCAACAAGCACTTACTAGCTTTAAAAGATGTTAAAGCTATAAATTTCAAATAACATACTTTATTTAAAAATATATATTATAAACTTCTATATTTTTCTATTTTCTTTTATATAATAACATTTAATATAAAAATATGATTGTATAGCCATTATACAGCTTAACCATTTTATTGCAACTTTTATTTATCTAGGTTTCACATACATTTTTTTCCT